CTTTCACTAAACCAAACTAGCTCTTCATTGAAACATTAATTGGAAATCTAAAGGAATTTGGTGCATTAGTAGATTTTAATACGTCAAAGATGAAGATATTAACAAAAAACATGAAAATATAAGATCAAACAGAATTGATGAATCAAATGGGTTTTAAGATTAAGAAGGAAGTAAAATATTTAGGTATGATGATGTCAAATACAAATTGTATGTTGTTTTAAAATTAGCTATGTTAAGACATGGAAGGAAGTTAAAAAAGACATGTTAGGATGGGAGAAACTACAATTGTTATCGCTGTGAAGAATTTCCATGATAAAAACAAATGTCTTACCTAGAATGATATTTTCGCTTCAGATAATCCCTACTTTCACAACTGATGCACCATTCAAACACTGGCAGAAGGATGTATCTAAATTTGCGTGGCAAGGAGAAAAACGACAAGTTTAATATTAAGGTGTAAATAAAATGCAGAAGAAAGTGGAAGATTGGTTCTACCTGATTTTGCATCTTGCTGTATGGTTCAGATAAAAGACTGGGTGCTGCTGAGAAATAGAGGGGTGTTGGAGTTAGAAGGACATGACCTGGTATTTGGATGGCATGGATATTTGGAAGTCAAGACTAATATGAACTTGAAAATCATTGTTAGATATGCCATATTTAGAATATAAAATAGAATAGATACAAATCCAGATTGTGCAAGACAACATCTCTCTGGCTCTCAGCTCAAGAAGTATTTTAGAATGAAGAGAAATAATAGGCCACCTTTGGCAGATTTTAACAAACAAAAGCAGGGTTGATTTTGTTTGCACTTGGATGGAAGAATACTGACCAATTTGAAGGTGTGGACTAGATTAGGAAGTTTAAAAATTATTCCAGTGGAAAGCAATGACAAACCATTCTTGTTATTTTTAACATACATCCACACAATTGGGCATAGGGAAAATAAGGAAGTTTGCAAAACCTTTAAAACATATTTATTATAAAATAAACTTTGTGGATTACAAGGTACTTGAAAAACATATGTTGCAGTTCTACACTAACTGTGATCCAAGAATGAATTTGTATGTCAGGCTGACATACAGTATCAGTCACCCATCTTACAACTCATTACCCACAAGTATAGCTTTTTCACATTTTTATATAGCTATTTACTTATTTATGAAAATTTATATCGTTGCCCAACTTACTCTCAGTGATTTACAAGGATAAAAAGCTAATATAAAAACAGCATTACAATTAATACAGGTAGTCCTCAATTAATGATGGCAATAGGAGCAGAATTTCTGCTGCTCAGTGACATGGTCATAGACTAGAGCATTATGTCAGGTGACTATGTGACTCATCAAAAGAAATTCAGACACTTCCTGTTGCCATTGTTAAGTGAATCACTGCAGGTCGTTAAATAAGTGAAATGAGGATGTTATCTGGTTGTCATTTGTGATTTCCAGCCAGCTTCCCCATTGACATTGTTTGTAGGAAGCTGACAAGGAAGGGTGCAAATGGTGATCATATAATTATGGATCGTGCAATGTCATAATTGTGAGCCAGGTGCAATCACATGACCATGGGAATACTGTGACTGACATAAGTAGGAGGAGTGGCCATAGTGGTTATTTACTCAACACCATTGTTCAAGTGGTTCCTGAGTGAGTGGTTGCTAAATGATGACCATTTGTATAGCAAACAATCGGGGTCAAGAATTGAGCTTTCTCTTAACTGACCGTTAGGCAGTAATGAGATCTTATATCAAGCAAAATTAGGCATGCTATATCATGGCTGTAAAAATCCAGAAATTAGTAGACCACAGCAAAGAAATACAGAAATCCTACCTTTGCTGCCAACTAGTGGTTATCCAGATTACTGCAGCACAAAGCTGCAGTAATACATACATAGTATATGCTAAATATGTAATTGGCTAGCTTTATACAGTTCACTAAGACATAAATCATTGTTTACAAACCACAGTGGCTCAGTTCACAGAACTAGCTAAATCAACTTTACCTTCCTCCCATTTAGCATAAATTCATTCAAACATCATATATAGTTCAGATGTGTCCATGCAATGTTCTAAACCCAAGCCAGTCAAACTGTAATTTATTATGTGCAAATTCAGCCATTATTTTTATTTGCCACCCATCTCACCACATCTCTGAGAGGCCTACAACATTAAAAGCAATGAAACCATGAAAAGTAGATATTTCTAATAACAATAAAAACACAAATTATAACTAAAGATGGGGAGGGAGGGAACAGGATATGTGGAATGCGAGATGGTTGGTTGTGCTACGATTATGGTAGTACCATTATGATTGGTGTGCCTTGATTACAGCACTGGAATATATTTGAAGCATGTCTGTGTCGTTGATTGTTAATTATTAACTGTTTAATCTTAACGAGACTGACATTTCACAGTCCAGAACAGGTGCAGCAGAGAATGGATCAAGATAGTGATTAACATTGTAGACTTTACTTAGGAGCAGAGTTGGGAGAAGTTGTTAAATAGTTCCTGAACTTTGAAATCTACTGCAACACCACTGGGCAGAGGAGCTGCAATGGAGTTCCTTCTGCAAATATTTTATTCAGGTTTAGCAGTGGATTTCAGGTCTGTCCTATCTCACAGAAACAAATGAAAAGCCATTAAACAGATTATCAGTTGTGACAATTTTGTATATGCATGGCTGTGTTTTACTAGAGAAAGGCTGGAAAGTTGCTGAACTATGACTTCATAGAGCAGTGGTTCTCAACCTGTGGGTCGGGACCCCATTTGGGGTCGATCGACCATTTCATGGGGGTCGCCAAGCAAGGCTGTCCGCCATTTTTTTTGTCTGCCATTTTTTTTGTCCGCCATTTTTTTCCCCTTTTCCGGCGGGTGCCTTACCTCCCTTGGGCTGGGCCAGCTGGTGGTCGGCCTGCTCCGTCTCTGCCGCTT